CTATCAAAAAGTGTTATATAATTACCTTATTTAAATTAGGTGAATCATTTGCAAAAGAGGAAGCAGAAGATAACGAATCATTAGACTTTCTAAAACAAAGAGAAAAACTATGTGGTAAAAGTGCTAATAAGATACAGATATAACTTAATTTTTTAGAAACCATCGAATCCTAAAGTTCGTAACTAAAACTTTTATATACTCACGATTTTTCTTCATTATCTTCCATAGAACCCATATTTGAAAAAGTTTCATCATCCATCCAATAATATTTGGTCTTAATAGATGGTGAAGAAATAGACATTCTAATCGAATACCTATGCATATACAACAGAAATAAATGTTAATATTACGTTTGCTCACCTTTCTACGTCCCTATTGACCATTAGTTTCTTTTGTTCTAATTCAACCATTACTTTCCAGTCCTCTAGTTTTTCTTTAAATTTAGTTTTTGCTTCAGTTGTTGGCTTTTCAATGATCCCATCTTCATTAAATGTGCATAACATTTGTGAAATATTATCATCACTCATTCTCATTAGGGCTAAGCCATTAATGTTTTTATCTAATATAATAATTCATAATAAAAAGACAATCTAGACTAAATACAAAAGACTCGTTTACCTTTAAATGTTTTTACATTATTTTCAAAACTGTTTTCTTTCAACCATTCACTAACTTGATCTATTGTCCAACTTGCCATTGACTTTAAAATAATATAAAAGTTGCTTAATTAGTTATTTGGTTTTATATTTGTCTATGAAGAAATCGGTCAGTTACTGTTATATCTAAAAAAAATCTTCAGAGAATATTTGATATATAGTATGGAGCAGACAGTATCATTAAGAAGACATTATCTAGTGGAAAAAATTATTAATTCGTTTCATTGAAAGCATCTTCTACAGTAATTACATGTTTCTAACTTTGCACGTCGTTTCATTTCTAACGTCCTAGTCTATGTACTTGACTCAAGTTTAAGGTTTCTTGAATTTTCAACATTTCGTCACATTACATGCGACTTCAAAACACCTTAAAAAGGGTCATATAATTACATTAGATTTGGATAGAGAAGACTGAAACTCCATTTCGCTTCATGACAATTCGCAAAATTTAGACAATTTATGGAATTTTGCGAAGTTTTGAAGCGATTTCGAAATGTAAAGAAAGCAGCAGATTCACAGAGTTTAACAAGTCGCTAGATTTCATTAGATGTCAACTAACTTGCTGAGACTTCAGACTTATATAGCTCTATGTAATCTGGTGTTTCTTCTTTGGAACTGCTATTCAATTAAATTCTATGAGATTTCCTCTACAGAAGCCCTTTCGTAGCGGCAGAAAAAGAAATTAACAGTCGTCTTCAGATGTAGTCGATTAAAATCACAACAAGTAAATAACACGTTGATTTTCCTGTTTAGTCAGAGAAATGAATGACTATTGTGAGCTGTTTATTGAATTTCTGTTTTACAGTTTGAAGCTTATAAGTATTTAAATTATTTAGTTTAATTTCATGAACAATCGAGGTCCTCATATTTTGTTTAATTTTAGATATGCTATAGGAGGAAGAGCTTTAGGACTTTCGACGCAAGTCATTTCAAAAAATAATAAAGTTTTGGCTTTTTATGAATCTTTTTACTGAAAGCTCTAAGAATACATGACCCGAAAACAGACCACATTACGGAGTGAATATCACGCGAAAAACTTGACCGACCAAGCCGAAACTTGTTATAGATGCATATACTTATGAGTTACATGCAGAATGAAATTTTTAGCTCAATTGATTGAGTCCTTTATCTCCTACAAATGATGCTTATGGTGACCAAATTAACAATTTTACACAGCTTTGAGGCTTTATATCGGATCATTGGCAAGAGACAAAGATTTGAAATTTTTACTCAATGTAGAACTTTCAGAGCCTTACACTCAGTAAAAATTCAAGCTTCATATACAATTGCATTAGCCTTGGGCATTTATCTGGATATCAGATTTTTGCCGAAAATTTCTATACTATACCAAGGTTATCATTCAAAACATGGATTCATTTTTTAGCTAGTTTTGCAATAGTAAAATGTTCATTTGTGCTCTACAATTACATGAAAAAGCTTTTAGCATAGTGAAACTCGATGTAACTGCTGTTGCTAACTACATAAAGATTGTTTTATTCTGTATGTCTTGAGACATATTTCTTCGCCCTTCTTGTGCTTAATTCTCCAAAAAATGCAAAAGGAAGTAGTTACTATATTGTAACGAGTCGCCTTTGATATACGGTCTCCAATTGCTACCAACAACGTTTGTCATGGTCTAGAAGGGTCGCTGGGGAGCGACTGTCACGCTTTTTTGAGAGGAGTGAATGTGGTTGCAAATATGTACCTATAGATCTGAACAATCCTTTTAGGTATTATTTGATAAAATCAGCGTGGAATCTCTCGCAACAGCCCAGAAAAAGGATAATGCTTAGAAGCCCAACTAAGATGGTTAATGAGGTAGGAAGTCCTACACTTGGAATCTCAATGTTTGAGTAAAGCGGATGAATGTGCGACGAGAAGATCCACACTCAAAACTGCACCCCTAAGCAACAGACAGAAGAACACGGTAAAATCAAGAAGAGAATGCATATCTACGTGAATATGAGCCAGTGTAACCGTCACACATAATAGTCAAACAGGTCTCATTGAAATTTTATTTTTATGATAATTATTGAAGAATGATATAACAGCGCAGAAAAATAGAGCGTCAGTTTTACTATCAGTCCATATAGAGAGAAAGTCTCTTTGAGCTTTTTATTAGTTATTGAAATACCTCCGCCACTATTTTTGAATTGTCCTGAGCAAATTATGATAAACCTTTCCTTTAAATCGAAATTGCAAGTGTAATCATGGTTAGATGTAACTTTAAGAACAAAAACATTGAGCAGGACAATACTGGCATATCTATCAGTGTTTTAAATGTCGCAAAACTTACTCCGTCAATATTTTACAGTCGTTGGTCGTTTGATGATTACAAGTAAAAAATAGATTATTGTTGAGGTATTTGCTCTTATCTTTCGGCGGCTTGTTGCTCTTGATTCTTCAACTTTTTCTTTGAGTTCTGTTGTGTTTGCAAATTAACTTGCCTCAACAATGAGAGAGGGGGGAGGGGGACTGTCAAGGTAAAGACAAGCCACTCTTGATAAGAAAGAAAAAAGCCTGAAGCAGATAGAAACGAAGGAAGATACAAGAATGATAATATTTACTCCTATCTTTCGAGTCTATTTATTCTGATACACCGCATCAACAAGAATAATATAAACCAAGTAAGTTTGAGTTTCATACCAATCGCGGATATCCCACGAGAATTAGTACTAGCGTCTGATAATACTAATATTAATGGTTGGATATTAGTTTCAAAACAGCAGTGTCACATATCCTGAAATTTGGAGAGGTGCTCAAATCTCTGCCGGGAGATGGTGCATTTTCAGCGGGAGATGTAGCCCCCAATGTGAGGGATGCACATCTCTCAACGAGATGATATATCTCCAACAGGAAATCACCGCATCTCCCGAGTGTGGGTGCCACGTCTCCCGCGGGAAATGCAGCATCTCCTGTGGGAGAAGTGAATACTTCTCCCAAATCTTGGATATGTGACACCACTCTTTCAAAAATACATAAGAGCACCAAAAGCCATAGAAGCTTACTCCGGGTTTGTAGCTGAAAAATATTCTCTTTGGTCGAATTCGTTGAATGAATTTTGTCGAAAGCTTTTAAGATCTACTTATACTCTAACGAACGAATTCGATCGGCTCAAAGTAGCCAAAAACCAATGACGACTAGAGTCCTACAATCAGGTCGGATATCCGACACCTGATCCGGCCCAAAGCACGGGTTTGGGTACGAAAAGTTGTATTCGTATAGGACGCTAATTATATATTGTTGTACTATTTCCCAGGCAGACAAGCAACGAAAAATAATGCGTAAAAAAGCGTAAAAACCGCACATTTTTACGATTTTAATTTCGTTAGAAATTTAACCTGTTTTTATGCGTTTTTTTGGTGAAATAAGTGACCTGTTAGAGGAATGACAGCTATAATCCGTAGACTTAGGTTGCTTATAAATCATCAAGCAACCTAAGGTCACGGACTATAGCTATGAGTCCCCTAAAAGGTCACTTATTTCAGCAAGAAAACGCGTAAAAACGCATTAAATTTCTAACGAAATTAAAATCGTAAAAATGTGCGGTTTTGACGCTCTTTTGCGCGTTATTTTTCGTTTCTTGTCTGACTGGGTATGAGTCTCGATCCTTTTTTCATCAAAAGCCACTCACACTCTGACCCAATCCAGTCACAATTAACGAAATATATCTATATATACTTCATTTTTGTAATCGTTTTTATATTTAAATCAATTTTTTGCGCTTTGTTCGCAAAACACTGAATTGAATTTTCATGAAATTCGAATTTACCGTGTCATGGCTGGCAGTTCTAACAGCCCCTCTTCTGTAAATGCAAAATTACAATACTACAAATTATATAGTAGTAATCGATAGAGCTCTTAAAGTTTTACGTTGTAACACTGTTATCAGACGCATTTTCAGCGAAACTTTGGAGACCGATCAAAGAATATTGCTCGAAAATACTTCAAAATTGGCTAGAATTGATAATTTTATAAAAACTTTTGCGAATAGATTATATCAATACTTATCGTTTCGAGTCTAAAATACAATCTTAACAGCTCAATATGACTTTTTTTTGTAATTAGTGAATTTTTCAATTTAAATATCATGCGCAACAATCTAATACAATTTGTATGCTTCAGATCTACTTGATCACATTGCTTATTTCGTAATTTTTATCGCTTGAATAATTTAGATTTATTGATGGGAAGTTGGACAGTAGATCGAGTTGGCCAATGGTTGAGCAAGAATGGCTTCGGAAAAAGTGTACAAAGGTTCAAAGGTAAGTGAACTATCTGAATTAAAGGTAAATTATCATTTACTCTATTATGCTAGACGAAAACATTGACGGCAGAGCTCTAATGAAACTGACAGATGATCAAATTGAGTACTTATTATCTGTATTAAATCAAGATGGTATTGAAAACAAACCAACACAAAGAACAAAACGTGTATTTAAAGCAGAATTAGAAGTATGGAAGGCAGCATTTGAATTTGAAAGAGATAAGCAGAAGAGAAAAATAGAGTAAAGAATCTAAATATCAACGTTTATTTATTTTGTTAATTGTCTAATATTTATTCATCTTGTCTAGTGTTGCATTAACTAGCAAAACCAGCATATCTTCTGATTGGAAACCAGTTTCAAAAATGAATAACATTGAAATACGTCGGAAACCAACGTGAGTCATTAGATATCACATAAGAATTCAATATTTAATAAAGATTATGAATTTAATTAAAGCTTCTTTATAATAATTTGTTCAGACATTGTTCTTCATATTTTAGAATGCCCTATTATCCAATCTCTGCTATATCCACTATTCCAAGTAGCATGGATGCAAGAAATACAGTATATATGCAAAAGTAAGTATAGTTGGCATATTATACAATTCATAAAATCTAGAACAGTAAATAAATCAGTGTCAAATACTTCTGCTGTATCAAGATGTTTGTGCGTTAAATCTTTTCTATGAAATCATAATTCTGAATTGATTAGTTGCCTTTTCTTTGAATTACTGCCACTAAAAATCTTGCTAGTTTTCAAACAAATATTAAAAAATATGTCAAAAAAAGAAAAATACGAACTTTTCAATTTCTTCTTCAAAATAAACTCCAAACATAAATGAAATGAAGCTCCACATTAAGTATAGACTTTTTGCTAAACAGTTTTTATATAGCTTGCTTTCATACAAGATTTTCACATCCCAAAACTATCGATAAATTATTAATAACATATATTTTAATGCTTTTTCTTTTATCTAGACTTTCCATTTCATCTATGGATGCTCCGAAAAAATTGAATAAAACAATCAATGACATAAAAATATATTCAAATACATATTCGATTAAACCAATGGATATTAATTTGAAATTTTTCAAAAACGAATTATTCTGTTCTAGCTTAATACAGTACATTTCAAACATATATAATGTAGAATGTCACATATCATTAGAAGATCAACAAAAGGAAAATGTTGGAATACAAATCCAATTATCAGGTTTGAGAAAAAATGTTGAAAATGTTCATAGTGATCTGCAATTATTATTTGAAACTGTTAATACAAAAATTTTCAACAACGAAAAAACGGATGAAAAAGGTAAACAATGCTTAAATAAAATCAATCTAATTATGTTATGAAACACAACATGAAAAGAGTATGGTAGTAAAGAGACAGAAATCTTGAGTCTCTTCACTTCAGCATTTCTCAATCATCATTGTTAAATTCATTTTTATATTTTTAGTTATTTATTGGTCAAAAAATCTTTACTCTGATTCGGATATTACTGTGATACAGAAAATTTTTGATAAACAAAAGTTATTCACTATATGGGAAAAAACGGATATATTATCAGGATATTATGTTGTTCATTATTTTACTAAAACTGATGTCTTTAGTGTGTCAGAAGATTATATAAATCAAAAAATTAATAATGAAATATCATATGTACGAGATATAGTTATATCGAATTTCGTAAATATACAAGAAAATTTTCGAAAAAAACTAGAACAGTTTATCACTAAAAAAAAACAAGAACAACAGCAACTGGAAACATATGCAGTCATTTATTGTATATATCCAGGACAAACAGAACTGAAAATTAGTTTCTTTGGACAAAACGTTTTAGTAAAACGTGCAAATAGACAACTAAAATATCTGATAGATCAAAATCGATTAATCACATGGACAACTGAATTTACTCTTACACAAGTATGTATTACATAAAATTTGTCATGCGATATCTTAAACGAACTTAATACATATGATAGAGATGTGCCGAGTAAACTTCTTTCACACTCGATATCCTGACTGAGAACAATTTTCTGATCTACTATTCTGCCTGATAGGGTAAGATTACTCTTCACGTCACTAGTATATATAATCAACCGAAACGTTCGACTGAGATCGTTTAGAAAAGAAAATGACTTGCACATAGTGAGACACATAATTTGTATAAAGTATGCGCCAAATGCAGTAACAATTTATTTTAAGGCGTATTTTGTTTTCAGAAAAATTCTTAGTATAACAAATGGAAATCATCTATATCACACGTGTAGTCAAACCGATTTCGAAATGTTTCATTTTGGATATTTGCTTATTTTATGTCTATACTTGAAGCAGTTTGTGTTCGAAAAAAAAACTTTATTAAATTATGTGATCTAGGATGTCTACACCGATTACACTATGAAGTTTACTATATAAACATAGTTCAATATTACTAAACAATTTTTCACTACAAATATACTGTAATTTTAGTATTTCAGTATCCATGAGGTTTTTTCTAATAGACATTTGTTAGACAATATTGATACTACACATTTTGGTGTCAGTTCAATTTTCCTTAAATGTATTATTAGGCGAAGACTTTTTAACTGTATTTAATGTTTTCTTATTGTAGACTGAAGATTGATTTCTTTCCTACGAAGAAAAGTCTTTATAGGAGAAAATACTAAAAAAATTCTTAGTGTAGAAAATATTCTGTTTCTTTTATAAATGGTCAAATTCGTTACCTCAACAACTCTAAATCTGATAGATTTCGTTCAATTCTATAATTATTAAGATTCTTAAAAAAATTTGCTTGTCTTTATGAATTATTTTCTCGGTAAAGTTACATCTATTTTAGTTACTTTAACTAAGAATACAAATGAATTAAAAATTATTGTCCATCTTAGGAAAACAATAATTCATCATCTAATTAATTCTTTCTTGTTTTTTTTAGCGCAATTATCTATTAGATAATTGTCTCCATCAATTGGAAACTATTGAATATGAATATAAAGATGATAATGTCAAAATAAAAATAAGAGAAAATCAATTATATGCACCTCATTATTTGAAAATAAAAATTCAACAAAGAATTAATAATTTAATTGACCAACAATATCCTCTTATTTTTCAATATATTGGAAATGATTCTATATTAACAAATGATGAAAAGTTGCAATTAGAAGAAATAGCTGGACAATTCAAATGTCAAATTGATAAAATAGATCTACAAACTAAGAAAGAAATTGTCACATTACCAAAAGTAATAAACACATCCACGTTAAAATCATCACCAAAATTTATTATTAAAAAATCAAAAGAATTCTATTCTTCATTATCACTATTGAAAACAACATCAATAGCAAATAGTACAATAGAACTCCATTTAGCCAATGATGTGACTGCACCACAGGTGAATTTTTCAAATTTTTATCAAACACAATCTAAAAGACATGTTGAAGTGTACAGGATAGAAATTTAGACCCACCCCTCCCTTACACAGACAATGTTGATATACGATCGCAGATTGTGTATCAATAGTGGCTCAGTACATTATATTAACTAGTTTCTTATCGCATGTCTAGGACATTAAGTAAAAGAGAAGCAAAAAAAAATGTGTTCCAAGTAGAGCTCGTTTGGACCGAAAATTTTCGGATTCGGATTCAGTCAAGCCTATTTTGGTACTGTCGATGAATTTTTTTAATCAACACAGATAACTACACACGGGTTCGGATCCGAAGCCGGTTAACAAAAAAAAAATTCAGCTCCGGAATCGATGAGCTCTAGTTCTAAGATACTTAGAAGAAAATAATCTTCCTGTGATTGAAGACACCAATTACATTTTGTTTCACATTTTAATCCCGCAGGGTTTACGCTAATAACTCTTTTAAATAGAATTCATTTTTACTTTTCAATTTTAGGCAGATATTACTATTATTTCAATGATTACAAGTGATATCGAAGACGATAGTAAACTGAATGGCAATAATTTACAAAATAAAACAGATACTGATAAAAGCGTAAAGCTTTTTTACAGTTTACCGCATTGGTCTAAAGTAAACAATGATCAAAATGACACAGATTTTAAAAATTCGATAAAAACTTTCATTTCAAACTCATTAAAAGATATTTCGGTTCTTAGTCTTAATAAAGAAAATATAATTACATTTTCTACAGATGAATGGGATAATTATTCAAGCAGAAAACAACTGGCGGAAGAAATCATTAATGAGATAAAAGTTCAACTTGAAACAAGTAAATTGTTTAATGTCAATTGGAGAATTTTATTTATTTTTAATGACAACCAAACTGATTTATATAATCGATTTTTACAAACAATATTGTCAATAACGATGAACACAAATAATTATGAACAATTTTTTTATCCTGTATCAAGTATGTAATGAACAGGTCTTTTTGTTGAAATGAGAAAATATGTAATTTTTATAAGATACAAGTCAGAACATATTTATATTTCCATATCATCCTGACATTTTTCTCACGATAAACTCAGATAAAAAACTCTAAAATGAAGATCCTGGTTTCTATTCCTGAGAATTGCTTTTTTGAATCCTATAAACCATAGCTGTCTTAGAGATTGATTTAGCAAAGCTTCTTTCATGAAAAGGAGTTTTAAAAGAGTCTTGAAGGATAGGCGTAGGTATTCCAACTCTCTTCCCTCTCACACCACAAACCACGAGAGACGTTATCACAGAACTGAATTTTATTTCGAAATTATTGTCAAATGTGACTGAATTTAAGATTGATGCCTTTCATCACGGACACATATTTACAGTATCTAGTATGTCAGAAACGAAAATATATGTTTCTAAATCTCTTTATGTACACTATAAACAGTTTTGTCGTGTTTCACATTTTAATCTCGCAAGGATTAAGATAACAACTTTTTCAGCTCATATTACACTCTAGAGCTCTTTCTACAAATATAAAAACAATATTTTCTCTCTACTTCATTGAACTATCGACGATAGTACATTTTCTCAATAGATGGGCGTGACATGTTTATTTAATACTTAGGGCAATCCAAAAGTAGTGACGGAGATACTTTATTTTCTTATAGAAAGCTTTAAAACAATTTCTTTTTTTATAAACAGATAGAGTGACTTTCACTCTATTTTTCCCTGCCATTTAATCATTATTCAACTGGTATTATAATAATAAAATTTCGATAAGATCTGTTTCGTTCGCATATGTGCTGGTAGCAAGAAGGCTCGTGAGAATTTTTTCAATAAAGTTTGATAGAAATAAGATAGAGAACTGCGATTTTCACCGTTGGAAAGAGGAGATGAAGATGCATCGAACCGTATATTAATAATTTTTCAAATATC